TTCAGGCTGCTAGTTTCAGTGTCTGTTAGAACCAGAGGGCAGCTGAGGGCAGGATGGCAGATTATGACGGTTCTTGCTAGTGTAATTTTGGCCTGGAGGCTCTGTGGGTTCCATAGATCCGCAGTAGAACCCATCTGAATCCAGGCATCCAAGTGGCACAGTGGGTATTCACCTCACACTGGCTCAAACCCGAGGATCAGAACTCCCAGAGAGCAGGGTCTGCGTTGGGGGTAGATGAGGGTAAGTCTGGCCTTACCTCTGTTATCCAGGGAACTATGGGAAGCAAGAAGGAATTCCACTTTTTCCGTCACCCAAGTGAATCTGTGCCTTTAGGCTGTCATCTGTCTGATCCTCCAAAGTTGCTTACAAAAGTTCAAGATGGCTGTGCCATGTTTGGCTGGCAGTCCATTCACCATTCAATCTTTTACCATCCCTGCTTAGCTTCTCTTCCCAGTAGGTACCAAATCCACTTCTCTAACCTTTACTCTGAAGCTCAGGGTTCCAGGATTATCCTCTGTGTGCTTTATTTGGTCTGCTGTATGTTTCTTGTAGAGTGTCTCTGTAGCTTGTGTGCCTAGTCTGCCATCATGCCAGAAGTCTCGTTTTCCACATTACAGTTCTTTGTAAATGATGTAGACAATTTTGCCAAATCTGCATAGTGAATATTTAATTGATATTTTCTTTACATTGACTATATTTTTTAAAAATCCTAATAGTATATGACTTTTAAAAGAATATGTAACAAAACATTTGCCACTTCAATGTTTTTTATATATGTAATCCAGTGACATAACATTTTACTTATACAGTTATTTTAAAGGAAAAAGTAGCAAGGTGTTGTGCTAAAGAGCATGGCTTTGAAAGGCAGACTCATGGTTCTAGTGCTGGCTCTGGTCAAGTTCTCTTTAATTCAGTTTCCTTCTTTACACAATGGGGATAATAATGGTACTTTCTACACAGGGCTGGCTACTTAATTTTTGAGGTCCATTGCAAAATATTTGTTGTTGTTGTTAAGTGCCATCGAGTCGGATCCGACCCATAGTGACCCTGTACAGGGTTTCCGAGGCTGTAAATCTTTACGGGAGCAGAACGCCTCATCTTTCTACCACGGAGCGGCTGGTAGTTTCGAACTGCTGGCCTTAAGGTTCGCAGCCCGATTCGTAACCACTACGCTACCAGACAGGGCTGGCTACTTAATTTTTGAGGTCCATTGCAAAATATGGGACCTGGCTAAAGGCAATAAAGTTATTTTCTCCTTTACATGGTCCTAAGGAATTGCCAACTTCTGTGCAGTGGCATTGTCTGGAGATTTCAAGGCTTAGACCCCAATCTTCTCTGGTCTTGCAATTGTCATTAGGTAAGGGCAGAGAGGGAAAGGGTGTGCCGGGGGCAGGGAACAGGGGGCTGAGAACCTGTGCTGGGGAGGCAGCAGGAGGTAGGAACTATACATGATCCCAGGCTCCAAGACCCCTGCACACACTTTGTCCCACTGTTCAAAGGAACACTTGGACACCAGGCTCCCTGATTACTTTCTAGTCCTACTTTCAATTTCTAGAATCTCCAAATGAATGAGCTTTTACTTTTTCTCTACTCATCAATCTTTCTTGCCCATTGAAAATCTCAGCACTCACTAGTCTGGTGCCATTGCTAACATCTACAGCAAACTTACCAGTGTATGGGAGAGAATCAATAAACCTGTAAGGTACATGATAATACTTCTTAGAAAGCATTCCAGTCTTTAGCCAGCTCTGTACAATCAATAAAGACAGAAATGTTCTAGACTGCATTGTCTAGTACAGCAGCCACTAGCAACATGTGGCTACTGAGCACCTGAAATGTGTCAAGTGTGAATGAGAAATGGAATAAAAATTTTTACTAACTGTTAAATTAATTTAAAAGTTAAAAACCACATGTGGCTACTACACTGGAAAGCAAAGCTCTACATATTTTCTTTAAAGTCTTTCTAAATCAGAATCTTAATATTTCCAAGGTGTATTTTCTTTTTTCATTGACATGCGGAAACCCTATTCTAGATTACAAGTCTAAAAAAGGACTTTAAGAGACCACTGGGTGAATGAAATCATCTAGCCTTTTACAGATTGGGAAATGTGACTGGGAAGGGGTAGTGATTTGTCCACATCACACAGCTTGTTAGTGGTAAAGCAACAAGGAACCAGAACCTTCTGACTTTGGAATTAGTGCTCTTCCTCTTTGAGGAGTTCTGGATACACTGAAGGAAGTGTGTGACAGGCAAGCATTGTGAGATTTTAAAGCAGAAATAGTACTGGGTTCATTCCTAAAGTTTCTCTCTTCTTTTGGTTATCAAATGATCCTTTGTTGAATATTTTCTTTTGTAGTTCTTAACTAGCAGCATTCCACAGCACCCCTACAGATATCATCTATGAAGTCATGAGGGTAGTGGCCATCAACATTGCAGTCCCCAGGATCTCTTCAATAGTCTCAAAGAGTTCTCTGGCTAAGGACAGGTGTTGCATCTGAACAGACAATGCTGATGATCGCATCTTAAGTGGTATTTCCAGTGTGCTTAATATTTTCTGCTTCTTTCTGTCTCTGGGTGGTTCCTTGAGAGCTTTGATGCCCAGGACAGCGTCAGAAGGCACCGCCTCAATCAGGGCCTGTAGGTTCTGAATGGTTAATTTCACCTTAATCCTTAACCCCTTCCAGTCACCAGTTGCTTTGGCAAGGTCATCACCAAAGTTTTTTGGAGATAAACCCAGAGCTCCGATCTTGGGAGCTAAGAAGGACGCAGTCCCGACTTCCCTACCTGGCACACGACTTCCACCTCGTTGGGGTTGAATTTAGGCGGTCATGTCAGAGGCGGCTGGTGTTGGATGAACCCAGACGCCAGAAGCCCGAAGAAAGTTGTACCTACACCTCCTCTGAGCCGAAAGCGAGGTTTTTCTTTGCTACTATTATTATTAATATAAAAACCATACCCACTGACATCGAGTTGAATTCGACTCACAGTGACCCTGTATAGTGTTTCCGAGGTTGTAAATCTTTTCGAAGTAGAAAGCTTTATCTTTTCCCCAAGGATTGGTGGTGGGTTTGAACTGCTGACTTGCGATTAGAAGTTCAGTGCTTATGTTGCTTCTGAGAAACAATTTGAAATGAGTGCTCTGTATAGCAGTTGTCCCAAGCTTAGGTCATTCCATCTCAAACTTTGTACGGTATAAAGACTATTAGTTGCGCGAGTTAACAGGCTTTTTTTATTTTAAACAACTCATCCAACTAGCAGAGTAGGTTAAACATCTCAGCAGGAAGTGGGCCACCTGTTACCCACAAAAAACGAACGGCGGTCGCGGGGCCTGGACGCCCGCCCACCCAGAGTCTATCTGGTCGGAGCCTACCTGCGCGCGCCGCGCCGTCAGCGCTGCTGTCTCCGCCGCCGCGCCCCGCCGCCGCTCGCAGCGCGCTCCCGTAGTTCGCCGACAGGTTCCCCGTGGCTCTTCGCGCCAGGGTCATGAAGGGCGCCGACCAACTTTCCGTCGCTGCCCGCGGCTGTGCTACGCTCTTCAGCTCGCCAGGGTTCGGCAGTTGGTTCCGGTCCACTATCTCAAAGTCTTCTCCTGACTCCGGCCCAGGCCCGGGCCCGGGTCCGGGATCCAGTCCCCGCCCCGCCGGGGAGCCCTCTTCCCGGTCAGCCATTTTGGTTGTATCACGTGACCCCGGCGGGCGTTGCGGAGGATTGACTGGTTGTAGGCGTGGGTGCAGCCGGGAGTATGTTTTTGCACCCTCGCTGCCAGATTATCTGTTCACTAGACTCGTTCTCTTTTTCTCCCTTCCTGTGCGCCTTTTCTCTCTCTCACTTTAAAAGCATACGGAAAACTGCAAATTACATTCGAAGAAACACCTGAATTCCCACCAGTTGACAGGACTCTTCCCGTGGAATTTACGTTTGTGTTTACAGTTCTGCATCTATCACAGTGCCTGGGAAATATGGGCGCCTTACTTTTCTTTGTGGAACTCTTAAATTTTATTTCATATTTTCTAGTTATTTCGCTGCAATGGTTTTCAGAACATGTCTGGCACAAGCAAAACAAGACAAGAAAACAGGATTCTTATTTTTAAAATATTAAATGACTAAGTTTAACATCTTTGGTAGTGTAGTGGTTACGAATCGTGCTGCGAACCGTAAGGTCAGCAATTCGAAACTGCCAGCTGTTCCGCGGGAGAAAAATGAGGCGCTCTGCTCCCGTAAAGATTTACAGCCTCGGAAACCCTGTACAGGGTCGCTACGAGTCAGAACTGACTCCACGGCAGATCACAACAACAACAGAGTTTATCAGGGCAGAACACACTTGTGGATTCCGTGCTATTAATTCGTTAAATGAGGATAATAATTATTAACCTCAAGAACAGTAATTTGAAACTACTGAAACAGAAAGACAAAGCTTTCTGTTCCTGTAAATATGTACATACATGCATAAATACAGGGTCTCTATGAATAAGAACCGCCTGCACAACACACCACCATCACCACATTATTAATTGTAGTATAAGCACTGGACTGCATCACAAGATTGCCGGCTAAAACTCAACAGCAGCTTCTTGGAAACCCTATACAGGGTTGCTATGAGTCGGAAACAACTCGAGGGCACTTGACGATGATAACCTTATTAATAACAATTTTGAATGTAAGAAGCACAGTGCCTGGCACATGACAGATGTTAGCAGTTGCGATTAGTATATCTGCTAGCCAGCTATGAAACTTGAGTGAGTCGTGTCCTAGAGTAAAACTCTCAAACTCTGTTAAGTGAACCAGATTTACTGGAAGCAGAAGAAGCATGCTAATGGAGAAACATTAGCCTACACAGAGTGAAGACCAACTAATCCAAAGGGTGGCTGCTTCCCAAGTACAGATATAGGGCAGAAACCAGGAATTTGCTTACAATATTCTGATTAGAATTTGCAAGATAGGAGATAGGAGACAGGACAACTCAGAGTTGGAGCTTTACAGTGGCTGGTTGAAAACAGAATGTGGACTATTTGAACTGGTTAGTTTGTATACCCATTACTCGTATGTCAGTTTATTATATATGTAGTGTGATGCTGAAAACTTATGTTCAGAGGCAGTTCTCTTCTGAAAAATAAGCCTGAAAAACCTATGAATAGCATTGGAACATTGTTTATTATAAAACCAGAAGATAAACCAAGCTCCTCATGATAAAGAGAGAAAAGATGGAAGTTGTCAAGGATTTCATTTTATTTGAATCCACAATCAATGCCAATGGAAGCAACAGTCAAGAAGTCAAATGATGTATTGCATTGAGCAAATCTGTTGCAAAAGACTTCTTTAAAGTGTTGAAGAGCAAAGATGCCACTTTGAGGACTAATGTGAACCTGACCAAGGCCATGATACTTTCAATTGTCTGCTGTGTGTGGGAAAATGGACAATGAATAAGGAAGACCAGAGAAGAACTGATGAATATGAATTAAGGTATTGGTGAAGAATAATGAATATACTATGAACTGCCAGAAGAACAAATAAATCTATCTTGGAAGAAGTACAGCCAGAGAGTTTCTTAGAGCGATGATGGTGAGACTTTGCCTCACATGTTAACAGGAGGGACCAGTTCCAGGAAAAGGACATAATGCTTGGGAAAATAGAGTATCAGTGAAAAAGTGGCAGATTTTCAATAAGATGGATTGACAAAGTAGCTGCAACAATGAACTCAAATATATCAACAATTTTGAGGATGGTGTAGTACTAGACAGTGTTTCATTCTGTTTTACATAGGATCCCTAAGGCTACACCTAATAAAAGTTTGAATGCATGGGTTTTTATAGGGCAGTTAAATCCTAAACCCCACTGCTATAGAGTTGATTCCAGCTCATAGCAACCTTGTATAGGGTTTCTGGTGCTGTAAATATTTACAGAAAGCCTCATTTTGTGATTAGCAGTCCATTGTTTATCCCGCAGCACCACCAGAGTTGTTAAGTACCGTGGAGTCGGTTCCGACTCATATTGACCTTGCACAGGGTTTCCGAGGCTGTAAATCTTTATGGGAGCAGAATGCCTCATCTTTCTCCTGCAGAACCACTGGTAGTTTCGAACTGCTGACCTTGAGGTTGGCAGCCCGACTCGTAACCACTATGCTACCAGAGCTCTACAGGGTAGTTGTTGCTATTAAGTGCCATTGAGTCGGTTTTGATTTATAGTGATCCTGTACAGGATTTCCGAGGAGTGGCTCATGGGTTTCAACCACCGACCTTGTAGTTAGCAATCCAGTGCTTACCCTACAGTACCACACCAGAAAGTAAATATTTTAACCAGTCCTGTGGATAGCTGAGGGGACTTCTGAGAAGAATTTTGTATGAAGACCCTTCTTTAAAGACCATTAGGAAACCATTTTATTATTATTATTTTAAAATATATACTGAGAAAGTGCATTCCAAAGCTAAAGCTCTTGGTGGTGGTGTGGTTAGATGACGTTGAGTCAGAACCGACTCATAGTGACCTTAGGCACAACAGAACAAAACACTGCCCATTCCTACACCAACCTCACAATGTTTGAGCACATTGATCTGCCATTGTGCCAATCCATGTCTTTGGGGGGTCTTCGTCTCTTTTGATAAACCTCCTGATATCCTTTTCCAGGAACTGATTGATCTCTCCTGACAATATGTCCGAATTATGAGAGACAAAGTCTGGCCATCCTGGCTTGTAAGGAATATTCTGGCTGTACTTCCAACCAAATTTGTTTGTTCTTTTGGTGGTTTATGATACTTTTAATATTCTCCTCCATTCTCAACTCAAATGTATCAGTTCTCCTATGGCCTTCCTTATAGTTTATGAGGACTCCTGGTGTGGTGCTGTAGGATAAGCATTGGACTGTGAACCACAAGGTTGGTGGTTCAAACCCACCAGCTGTTCCTAGAAAACCCTAGGAACGGACTCCATGGTACTTAACAGCAACAACAAAATCTTGATGGGAGCAGAACGCCTTATCTCTTTCCAGTGGAGTGGCTGGTAGATTTGAACTGCTGACTTTGTGGTTAGCAGTCCAATTCATAATCAACTATGTTACCAAAGCTCCTTGTCTTTATAAGGCTTTGTAAATGAACAGCTTTTCAGAGTACTTTATCAAGTGCTTCTTGACTTCAAATTTCCCCATTTGGCATGTCTCTTTAAATAATCATGTAAACTTTTCACTACAATAGTGCTTGAGCCTGCCAATCCTTTGTTATCTACTTAAGTCTGCTAGTATGAGGACCGTCCCTTAGCTCAAAGAGAATACAGTTTCTTAAACAGTGTTACTGTTACTGATTGTTAAGAAGTTAGCATGACTTAAGATACAAGAGTCTGAATTCAGGCTTAAACCTGTCTTTTTACTTTGGTCAATCACCTTAATTTTAGGACTCCTGCACATAATCTTCTGGTTAATGCAGAAGAAGGAGCTTGTAACAAAACAGGATTAAGCCTACTCTGAGATCAGGTACTCTAAATATGCCAGACACTTGTGTTCTGCAGTACTTATTCAGTCACTATACATTTGTAGGAGTCCTGGTGTGGCCCTATAGTATAAGCTCTTGACCACAAGGTTGATTTGAACCACACAGTTGGCAGCTCAAACTCACCAGCTGCTCCTTGGAAACCTTATATGGGTCGTTATGAATCGGACCTGTCTCAATGGCACTTAACAACAGCATATATTTGTAAGTAGTTATTTATGTTTTGTTTACTTATTTGGACACCAAGGAGATTTAACTAAATAGAAAATGTTGTTGTTATTGTTAAGAGCTGTCCAGTTGGTTCCAACTCATAATGACCTTGTATAGGGTTTCCAAGGAGCAGCTGGTAGGTTTGAGCTGCTGACCTTGTGGTTCACAGTCCAGTGCTTATTATATAGCATCCAACTGATCCTATTACAGCTTAAATTTTAAAGTACTTGATTTGTAGAAGGCTGTGGTTTACAGTGAGAGCTCTAACTCTTGACCTAAATTTAGCTTCATTTGGGTTCTTTTTGACCAGCAATGTGGAAGCTGTTTTGCTCTCAGGGAGAGTGTGTTTGACAGTAGATTACAACTCCCTTGGGCAGGTCAGAGATGGACAATCTTTGCCTTTAGGTGTGTCCAGGTGTGTCCCTAATGATTTTCAGCTGGAGTAACAGGGCCATGATCATGAGTCATAAATAACATCACGACAAATGGGGAGTAGATCGAAGTTGTCAAAGACTTTGTTTTGCTTGGCTCAACCATCAACATTCATGGAAGCAGCAGTCAAGAAATCAAACGAAGTAGTGCATTAGGCAAATTAGTTGCATAAGACCTTGTTAAAGTGTTCAAGAGCAAAGATGTCAGTTTTGAGGTCTAAGGTGCGCCTGACCCAAGCCATGGTATTTTCTATAGTCTCAAATGAACGTGAAAATTGGAAAATGAATAAGGAAGGCCACAGAAAAATTGATACATTTTGAGTTATGGTGTTGGAGAAGAATATAAAAAATATGATGGACTGTCAGAAGAACAAACAAATCTGTGTTAAAAGATGCATAGCCAGAATGTTCCTTAGAACCAGGTTGGCCAGACTTCATCGCTCGTACTTTGGACATATATCAGAAGGGACCAGTTCCTGGAGAAGGATATCATGCTAGATGAAGTGGAGGTTCATTGAAAAAGAGGAAGACTCCCAATGAGATGGATTGGTG